AGGCTAACGCAGACAACCGCCAGCACCACAGGCAGACCGTGTATCTGGAGGGTAAAGCGGTTCAGGGGCTACGTGACTCAGGAGCCACCATCACCCTGGTAAAAGTCACCTGGTCTCAGACCAAGCTAAACTTAGTAAGACTGTGGCCGTCAGGGTAGCCGGGGGAGCAGTATACCGGCTACCCACAGCAAGGGTACATTTGCATTGGGGAGCGGGGGCAGGGCATGTGGAGGTGGGGTTGATGCCGCAGTTACCGGCGGAGGTTTTATTGGGGAACGATCTGGGGAGGCTCACATCTGCTTTTGAGCCCCAGACACCCACCACAGGAGAAGCTCACCCTGTGGTCACTCGACAACAGGCCCGCACCCAGGACTACAACACACTCCCGGAGGTCCAGGTAAGAGATCCTTCCCCTTCCCTTGACTGTGTTCCCTGGGCCCCTCCTAACGAATTTGCAGCTGAGGTAGTGACTGACCCCACCTTGCAGGTGTATAGGGACAAGGTGACAGCAGACACGCCTGGGGGGGAGGGCGAGAGGTTTATTTGGGACAACCAGCTGTTATATCGGGAGACGGATAAGCAAGTATCCGGGTCAGACCCGATTGTGATGAGGCAGTTAGTGGTACCTCAGCGGTACCGGGCGGAGTTACTACGGATAGCTCACGACATTCCGCTATCTGGACATTTAGGGGTCAGCAGGACCCGATACAGGTTAACCCAAAGTTTCTTTTGGCCGGGAATTAGCCAGGAGGTGCGCAGGTATTGCAACACGTGCGATACCTGTCAAAGGGTGGGGAAAAGGGGGGACCGGCGCAAGGCCAAGTTACATCCCCTCCCCATAATCGAGGAACCCTTTAGCAGGGTAGCAGTTGACCTAATAGGACCCCTCAACAAAGCAAGCCCGTCAGGTAAAAGATTTATCCTGACCGTAGTAGATTATGCCACTAGATATCCAGAGGCGGTGGGCCTGACGAATATACAGGCTGAGACAGTAGCGGAAGCCCTGATGAAGATATTCTCCCGGGTGGGACTCCCCAGGGAGATTGTCTCCGATCAGGGCACCCAGTTCACCGCCGAAGTCACGCAGCGCCTCTGGAAGTTTTGTGACATTAAGCCGGTCATTAGTTCCCCTTACCACCCCCAGACGAATGGGCTCTGCGAACGTTTCAACGGTACATTGAAACAAATGCTCCGAACCTTCGCAGAGACCCACAAGGACTGGGAGAAGTTCCTGCCACACCTCCTCTTTGCTTACCGGGAGGTGCCGCAGGAATCCACTGGGTTCTCCCCATTTGAACTATTGTTTGGCCGCAGGGTACGAGGGCCTTTAGATTTGATCAGAGAGCATTGGGAGGGAGAACGGAGCACTGACGGTACCCCCATCATACCCTATGTGTTGGCATTCCGAGACCGCCTTGAGGCCTTAACTCAGACGGTACGCGAGAATTTGCAGGCGGCTCAGACACGCCAACGCACATGGTATGATCGGGGCGCCAGGGACCGTAGCTTTCAGGTCGGGCAGAAGGTGTTAATCTTAAAACCTGTCCGACACGATAAGCTGCAGGCCGCCTGGCAGGGCCCTTATAAGGTGGTGGAACAACGGTGTGACACCACTTATATAATCGGCTCGTGCGTTGGTACTGGGGGGCGACGCATGCTCCATGTGAACATGATGAAGCCCTACCAGGAGCGCTCGGAGGAAGTGACCGCTATATGTGCGCCTAACTCCGAAGAGTTTGACAGTTTACCTCTCCCGGATCTGCTGGGAGAGGGTCAGTTATCCGGGGACTTAGGGGAGGTCACCCTGGGGGATCGGTTGAGCCCACAGGAGCGGAGCGAGGTACAACAGCTGTTGAGGGAGAAGCAGGATATCTTCTCTAATGTACCTGGTTACACTCCTCTGGCCACTCACCGAGTAGACACCCCAGGGCAACTTCCCATGCGTCAGACCCCGTACCGCATCCCAGAAGCGGTACGGGCGAACATGCGCAAGGAGATAGATGAGATGCTCCAGCTGGGGGTGATTGAGCCCTCTGACAGCCCCTGGGCATCTCCGGTAGTCCTAGTACCAAAGCGGGACGGCACGACCAGGTTTTGTGTAGACTACCGGAGATTAAATGAGAAGACGGTATCGGACGCCTATCCTATGCCCAGGATAGACGAACTCCTGGATCGGATGGCAAGGGGGCACTATCTTACCACAATTGACTTGTGTAAAGGGTATTGGCAAATACCCTTGGCACAGGACGCCATCCCTAAGTCGGCCTTTGTCACCCCATTCGGCTTGTACCAATTTAAGGTCATGCCGTTTGGGATGAAAAACGCCCCGGCTACTTTTCAGCGGATGGTGGACCGCCTCCTAGATGGGTTCCAGGATTATACCTGCGCATACCTCGACGATATTGCCATCTTCAGCAATACCTGGCAGGAACACCTGACCCATATAGGAGCGGTCCTAGATAGGATTAGGGCCGCTGGTTTAACGCTGAAACCAGCCAAATGCAGCATAGGAATGGCTGAAGTACAGTACCTAGGTCATCGGGTAGGATGCGGCAAGCAAAAGCCGGAACCCGCCAAAGTAGAGGCAGTAGCTCAATGGCCCACCCCTAGGACTAAGACCCAGGTGTTAGCGTTCTTAGGAACGGCCGGATACTACCGGAAATTTGTCCCGAATTACAGTGCCCTGGCCAAACCTCTCACCGACTTGACCCGTAAAAACCTACCCCGCCAAGTAACCTGGACCCCGGAGTGTGAACAGGCATTTCAGTTGTTAAAAGATGCATTGACAAATGCCCCTGTCTTGGCCGCTCCCAATCCAACTAAGCGTTTTCTTGTCCACACAGACGCTTCTATGTTTGGATTGGGAGCAGTATTAAGCCAAGTCGGGGCCGATGGCGGAGAACATCCCGTGGCTTACATCAGCCGGAAACTGTTACCTCGAGAAGTAAGCTACGCCGCCATCGAGAAAGAATGCCTGGCTGTGGTGTGGGCCCTGAAGAAATTACAGCCATATTTGTACGGACAAGCTTTTTCCCTGCTCACGGATCACAACCCGTTAGTATGGCTAAACCGGGTGGCTGGGGACAATGCCCGGCTGCTGCGCTGGAGTCTGGCGCTGCAGCCCTTTGACTTTAATATCCAGTACCGCCCGGGTAAACAGAATGGAAATGCTGATGGGTTGTCTCGACAAACTGACCTAGAGAAATGATCCGTGGGCCTCCCCGGACATCCCCAAGCCGATCCGTGTTGGATCAGACTGTGTATGCCGGCTTGTGGGCAAGGGGGAGCAGTGTAGCAGATGGCACCAGGCGACCCTACAAGAAATACTGTATAAAGCTGCATACGTGTATCTGCTGTAATTTCTGTGCATTTAAAAAGACTTGTATTCCTCTGATTGTTCGGTAGTTTCATTCCCTTAGTTTATTCGAATGAAACTACCGAACAACCAGACCTCCCTGTGTGAAGTGTGTCCTCAATTACCCGTTGCAACATTGTTGCGAACGGGTAATTGAGCAGTAAGTAGCCGTCCTTTGTTCTCGGGGGTGGCCGCCATTCGACAAACGAACACGTGGCGGCGGCCATTTTAAAACTCCCGAACAGCGGTGTTTTGCCGTCGAGTGCCTGGAACTAAAATCGGACACTCGAGTAGGCGAACACCGCTGAGACCTCCACAGCCCTGGTCCGTTCGGTTCCAAACTACCGAACGGCCCCTCGTTCGGTAGATAGAAAATACCGAACGAGGGGATTCAGGCGAACCTCCCTAGCCTCTATAGCTAGAGGCTTTCGTGTATTTTATTCCCTTATGCCAGGACCGACCGCAAGGCCCATTCACATGGAACCGAATTCGGCTATCTCTGTTCGTGCGGTCGGTCATTTTATTCCCTCCATACTTTTCCCGAACCCCTGGTCCGATCTGAGTTATTTTTGGATATGTTGTTCACCCAGATCAGGGCTATCAGGGGGTGTAGGATTTAAAGGGGTACCCCTACGTTTAGGGGTACATCCAGAAACAGGGGGGAATTGGTGTGCTGGATAAGGGGATTATGATGCTGGCTGAGGGGAGGGGATGTGTGGGAGGTTACCAGGACAGGATTGGCTACTGTAATAATTACTGTAAGTTCCTCCCTTGCATGGGAGCATGCTTTATAAGGAGACTGCGATTAAAGGCTTGTGAGTTATGCTCCTGAAACTGTGTGTCGTCCAGTTATTGGGATTGCTGTTGGGATATTGCTGTATTTTACCTGCTGGAAACCCTGCCTTTGGATTTATTATTTACTTGTTCCTGAGTCTCACTTGGATTATAAGCGGAGATAACCTGGGTAATATTGTATCTCCGCTACATCCTGTACAACTGTACATAGCATTCTTCTGCGTAACTGCACATAGAGTTCTTCTGTGTAACTGAACATAGCATTCTTCTGTGTAACTGTACATAGCATTCTCCTGCGTAACTGCACATAGCATACTACTGTGTAACTGTACATAGCATTCTCCTGTACAACTGTACATTGCATTCTTCTGTGTAACTGAACATAGCATTCTTCTGTGTAACTGTACATAGCATTCTCCTGCGTAACTGCACATAGCATACTACTGTGTAACTGTACATAGCATTCTCCTGTACAACTGTACATTGCATTCTTCTGTGTAACTGAACATAGCATTCTTCTGTGTAACTGTACATAGCATTCTCCTGCGTAACTGCACATAGCATACTACTGTGTAACTGTACATAGCATTCTCCTGTACAACTGTACATTGCATTCTTCTGTGTAACTGAACATAGCATTCTTCTGTGTAACTGTACACAACATTCTACTGTATAGTTGTACATAGCACTCTACTGTGTAGATAACGCTCTTCAGATGAATAGTACCTAACACTCTCTGTGAACTGTAACCAACTCTTCTGTAACAGAGAGTGAAAGAAACAGCTTTCCATAGGAAAACAGAGAAAGTGAGGTTGAAGAGATGAAGTGATTAACTCTAAAGGGCTCAAACCTAACACTCCAGAAATGTATTTATAGTAGTGACATTAGAATTTCCAAAAGGCAAACTCTTACAACCTGCCTCCCCACCGGCGCCCGGACCGAGGGTCCTGCGGTGTGGGGAGGCCAAACGAGGTCGGGAGCCGTCACTTCCACGTGGCCGGTCATCCCTCCCACGCCACCCGCGGTCGCAAGAGATAACTGCCTTCCCGCGGTACAGGGAGCATGGGAGGGAGACAGGTGGAGGGGCAGTTCCCATGCGCTGTGAGAGCGGCGCGCAATATACCCACGTGGGACCGTCGGAGTCGTTCTCCGTGGTCCCGGCGGCTGGACAGGACGGGAGGCGGTACTGAACCGCTCCCCGCCAGCTGCTAGGAAAACAGAAAGACAACAGGAAGAAAACAGAACGAAGCCAGAGAGAACCGAAAGGAAACGAAAGTAAAAGGTCTGCAAGGAGAGCAGGGAAAAATAGAGGGAGAAGGGTGGAGGAAGCACCCATGCAGACCTCACAGAAAAAGGGGGGGGAGGTAGAAAGAGCAGGCAAGAAGAAAACACCCGCAAAAGGCACAATAGAGGACTTCACCTCATAAAATAAATCCCAAAATCAACACACACTATCAAATCATGAAAATCAAATCATGAAAATCAAATCAAATCTTAAAAACAAATCATAAGATCAAATACAAGTAAAAGTATATATCCCACAGCCAGCCATATATAACAGGAGGCAGTGGTACTCTGTCCCGTACTGACTGCGAAGCAGCAAAGAAAGAGGCAGTAGTTGGTTGGGAGAAGCATTTTATGGATTCCTGATTTTTTTGTCTCTGGTGTTTTTCTCTCTATGTTAATGTGCTGCTTTGGAGTTCTAGTAATGAGAAACTTAAGCAAATATGAAGCCTCCTGTCATGTTATACAATTAGAACAGATTAAGAAAGGTTCCAAAACAAGTGTTCTAAAAATAAGAAAAACACTTTAAACGTAATCTGAGATCCAACAGCAAACAACGCTTTGATCTAACAGCAGGTTAACATGTAAATATGGGGAGCATTGTAACATCCCAACCTAAAGGGCACACCTAGAAAGAACCGTAATATGCACAAATACTGAGTAAAGGGACATGCCAACCTAACGTTCACACTAATACACCAACCTAGAGAGAAGAGTAGCATAAAAACCTAAAAAGTAAATCAGGAGTTAATGAGCATGGAGAATGCTGTAAAGTAATATGTGGCACAGCTAAAGAAAGATACACAGGAAATATACTGGGAATACCATAATCTTTTATTTATTAAAGATTTAACAAGAAGGAGAAAGGAAAGTGCAAGATAAAGAATAGATTTTAACTGACGGCACCTGATCAACCCAAAAGACAAAAAACGAAATCCCTGGGCTGCTGGCGATCCACGTCTGTGTATGTAATTGCGCTGTTCGGGTAAAGCAGGATTTTACCGGTGCGATACCCTGAGCTGCAAGCTGTGAGCTGCAAGCTGTGAGCTGCAATAAGAATTGGGTAGCAGCTACAGGAGAATGAGCGGCCACTAATTAGCTGCGATTATCTGTCCTAATCTGGGTTCTCTCGCTGCCCTGGGAGAGCGGCATAATGCACCATGTTTATTGTTTGCTTTAACAGACACATTGACTTACTCAGCTCATACATTGCACAACATGGAGCATTCACCGCATTCAGACAGAGCTGTAACATGTCTTTCCTGGTTGCAGTTTAGATGATAAAAAAATACAAAAAACATATATTTATACAATGAGCACTTTTTACTGTAAGACTGACAGCAAGGGTGATGTCTTAATCTCCAGGGGAGTGCAAGCCCTGAAACCAAGAATCTAGCAGAAAGAGTTCCATGTTGCGTGCATTACGCTCTCACGCTGTAGAGTAGTTTATTACAGATGTTATCACAGTAGGGATTCTACCATTCATTTACACAGAAACCCATAGATTAATGTCATCAGAGCAGATAACATGCGGCTGCACTCTGCAAAGAGGCGATATCATGCCGCAGTCACTGCGCTGCTGAGCACAGGGCGTTAGTAGAGGGGAAATGAGGACACAACAGTTATTCTACACTTTATTTTATTGTGCACCAACACTACAATGGTGGCGATTTACCAAATCAACTAATTATTTCAGGATTTGGGGGCATTTGTGAAATAAAAATGCCCCATTGTCTGTTTGTTAGCCATTGGCTTTGCTTTGGGCTGCCAGCTCTTGTGTGGCCTAAAACACAGGCCTACATATTGTCTTGTGTTCTAGGACTGCCATTGGGTAACAGCCTAAGAGGATGGAGTCAGACCTCTTTTAAGTGTTTGTTGTTTCCCAAATACATGTATCTGTTAGCTTATGATGTATGTATTAGCTTATGGTATTACATTGGACATTGCGTGTCGTTGGGTCAGGGGTTCAGTATGAGGGTTAAGTGGGCAGAATGAAATTCCTGGAGTAAAATCTAGCACCTCATCATCTTCAAACTTCACCAGTCCCCTCTACCTGTGAGTCTGGATTGAGTCAAGTTTTATTTGTGAGTTGTATAAAAAAAATGCAGAAAGGGGGAAACGTTGCTTTATTGTGTTGGTGCAGAATAAATAAATATTTGTGAAAAATTAAGTTGAGTACCGAGTTTTTACCCTCTATCTGTTTCCTGTAGGCCAGGGATAAGCAACATTCGGCACTCCAGATGTTGTGGACTACATCCACCATAATGCTCTTACACCCATAATGCTGAGAAAGCATCATGAGAGGTGTAGTCCAAAACATCTGGAGTGCCGAAGGTTGATGATGCCTGCTGTAGGCCATGGTGGAAGTCCTGGGATCAAGGTGCAAATAGGCACTGCCAGTAACCTTCAAAGCTTGTCTATTGACAGGATGAAGACCATATTGAGCCCTCGCTGCAATATTTAACTATGCCTCCACAGTGTGCATGTGAACAGCCGCAATAAAATCAGTGTATAAGCAAAATGGATGGCCTTTGAGAATGCTTAGCATTGCACTAAGACTATTTCCTGCTGTAAATAAAAAAATAAATCAGGAATTTTGGGTATCCCAGTGCGATACTATCGCACCACAAACCCCTCCCCTCGCGTATTCTGTTTATTCAAACAGAGTCCACACAACATTGATCCTGTGAAACTGTCCATTTTATGGAGACATACATTGAGGAAAAGAAGAAATTTCTACTGTGCAGGAAAATGATAGCTAAAATCCATAGTTCTGCTGTAAAAAGGCCATTTTGTATCATCCCATAGTACAAGTAACGCACTTTGTCATGCTGCCATTGCTATTTATATCCCATTTATGTCAAGAAGAGAAACCTATACAATATCACTTTTTAAAAAGTTCTAAAATGGTAACACATTTAATTTATATATTGGCACAGATGTGAAGGAAGGAAAATATAGGTTCTCCCGCAGTGTCCTGAGCTCACAGATAAAGTATCCAATTTCATGGGAGCTATATTGGATATAAATATATGTTGTAATCTGTACATTTGCTGACTAATCACAATGCATGCACTGGATGTACACCTACCTGACCATATACATACCTTACCATGAGCATGTCATGCTGTTTGTGTTCTTGTAAGGCTGAGTTATGATAAAAAGTCACACTAAGAACCTGTATATTAATCTAGTAACATAGATAATGATCCTTTATATCAGATCTCAGCTTGTAATATGCAGTAATATCAATAACAGTGACATTTGAGAGCTAAAGTTGTATTGCTAAGGATCCATACTCCCGTCTTTCCCTTTCCCTATGTCTCTAATTTATCTTCTATAGCCGTTACTAATTCTGTCTCTCTCTGTTACCTTGTATCATCCATCTCCTTCTTCCAGTCACTGCCCTGATGCCCCTTGTGTTTTTGACCCCATGTTACTTAGCACTTCGATATCTGTCAGCAGTCAGAACCTCGATATCTCTCAGGCCTGTATAATCCTCATAAAGTGTTTAATTTATTTTTTCTATATCTTGTTTAGTGGTTTAGTCCTTTTTCCCAAGGTCTGCTCTTCACATGGCTGGAAGAACTTGCATGGCATTTGGCAGGATGTTGCGATTCGCTATCCAGCCTGGTCGAAGTCCTACTCGGAGGTTTGTTATGCAATCTTATTCCTGCCTTGTTCCTTAGATGTGCATGTGTGGCGGAACTGCTGCTGTTGATACATTTCCCCTCTCTTTATTATGTGTGTTGCCCTATGTGTTAGAGTATTGTGCCTGCTCCCCGTTGGCCCCTTTAGAACGCTTGTTAGAATTTCCATTAGAACATTCACAGCCTGACTTAGTACCAAAACTGCAAGGGAAGCCTTGGCGCATGTCCTCCTTTCGTAAAGACGAATGCCATCCCGGGGGAGCATTCGTGAATTGTTTTCCTCCTTGTTCAGTTCCCGAACGAGGACCTCCCCGGGGCCCCATTGGAATGTTCACACCAATCAATTATAATGTTAACACTCGCAACATAAGGGTGAAACCACAAGAGAAGTAATTAATGAGTTCTTCCCTGGGTGGCCGCCATTCGTATAGACGAACGCCAACCAGGGGGGAGCTGTCATGCGGTATCTCTTCGGGTTCGGTACTTCCGCATTGACAGTACTTAGGGAGACCGCGCCAGGAAGAAGGCGCTTGGTGATTGTGGGACCTACTTCCGGGTATACACGCCTGCTCCACAAGCTCTGACAAGCCGTCCCAGCCTTTGAGCCAATGCAAGGATTGCTGCATGCCATAGAGGATTACTGGAGAACGGATACTTTGCTAATTTACAAGTGGACTATAACTCTGAACTCTTGGAGGACAACTCACCTTAACCTTAAGTATATCTTTCAACTATTGTCTGCAATATCATTTATTAATGGAACAATTCCTGCTTGCTCAAATCTTCTCTGCTTCAAGTTACTAATTATATGGAGGACAACTCCCATCATGCTTATTTACTATGAACTGTTTCTTGCTTTGCAAACACTCTCTGCTACCTGCTTAATGTTTAATATTGAAGATTATTCCCAGCAACCTAAAGAATCTTATTTAATACTTCTCTGAGGAAATACTTGATAACCTGCACTTTCTTCTTATTGGATTATTGCCTATATGCAATTCATTTAAGTTTATCAATCATTAAAACTTCGTTTGATTCTCAAATTGCCAGCAATCCTCTCTTTTCTTAAAGCTATTGATACTTTAAAGATTCTTCATTTCTTTACCATTGCAATTAAGGAGTTCTACAAGCTGCAGTTGAGTTCCAATCCAAATAACCCAAGTAGCATAACAGGAGCATTCGTATCCTGAAAGGAGATGCTTCCCTTGCCTGGTTTCACACAGGGACCCCGTGTACGGAGGCTGTTAGAGCCAGGTACCGTTCTGGGGGTTCCTGAGGGGCACCGGCTAGTTTGGTGGGGGTTTCTGTGCCTGGGAGACTCCGCTTTGACTTCCAGGTACAGAGGATGAAGACCCCCCCGACATCTGGAGTGCGAGACCCTGGATTTACTGGAGGAGATGGG